CGCCGATCCTCGCTGCCCTCCCCCACGCACCACAGCCAGCGCCCAAAGCTTAGGTCGGGCGTGTCCCCCACAGGCGGATTCTGAGGAAAATTCAACAAGTGCCCAGAATTGGCCAACAAATAATACAGGAATCGTCCCCGGATTAGTTGTCTCCAGTGAGTGCTTGCTCTGAAGGGGTCCTAGCGGAAATTCTCCAATCAGTGCGTGCACTGAGAGGGTCCTAGCGGAAATTGAAAGATTTGGCGAAAGTGTCCTGCCGATTTTTGTGGCAGGCTGGGTTCCCGGGTTCCCGGTTCCCGGTTCCAGGTTTCCTGGTCATTGGTTCCGGGCCGATTTCGGTGCATGGGTTCCGGGTTCCCGGGTTCCCGGTCGATCTCCTTAGCGATCTCTTCATCGATCCCATTTCAAGCCATCCGCTGACTGGGGCCTTTCTCGGGTGCACTTGTTGACCATTTGGGATTACGCCTCCTGTAGAGGGACGTGCCCGATGTAGCCCGAAGCGGAGGCCCTCAGGCCGGAGATGCTTGCCGCGGCAGTCGGGGGAGGGGCGCGTCCCCACGGGACGCCTGGCCCGCATGGGATAGGCTGCCTGCGCCGGCGCCGCCGCTCGGCGCACACGGCGCACGGCCCCCAGATCCAAGGAGGGGGGAGGCGCAGAGGAGGGAGGAGGCGCCGCAGGAGCAGGAGGAGGGCGGAGGGGGCAGGCAGCAGCAGCAGCAGGAGAAGAAGAGGAAGGGAGGGCAGAGGAACGTAATTCGCCTCCTTCTCCTGCCCCTTCTCCTTGATTCCTCTCGCTTCGCGGGGTGCACGTCCAGAGCACGCACAGTCCAGTCGTTGTGAGGCCTCCTGGGAGCCTATAGGAAGCCTCTTGAAAGCTTCGTAGGGGTCTCTTTGGGGCCTCTTTGGGCCTCTTGGGGACGTATTGGGCCGTCTTGGGGCGCTCTTACGCCGTCTGGCTCCGTCGGAGGCCGCCTTGGAGGCCTCTCGCGGCCGCTTTGGGGCTCTCTTGAAGTCCTCTTGGGTCGTCTTGGGATCTCTCTTGGACCGTCTTGGGGGCCTCTTTTGGCCGGCTCGGGGCCCTCTTTGGCCTCTTGGGGCCCCCTTGGGGGCCTCTTGGGCCGTCTTGGGGCCTTCTTGGAGGCCGCTCGGGCCGTCATGGCCTCCGACGCCTTCTTTGCCTGTCCCCAGCCATCGCCTTACATCGGCGAGTTCGCCGCCTGCTGTGCCCGCACTATCGCCCGAGCCCTTTGCGACTGCACCCACGAAAAAACAGCATGGGAAGAGAAGACGCGCAGTCCAATCGTTGGCTCTCTCGCCTTTCATGTCGGAGCACAACACGTGCAATAAGGATGTCGTTGTGGAGCCGTGCCGTTCGGCCCGCCCCACGAACGTGCGATCGTATACGAGTACGCAGGCGCCTGCATGGTTTCTCGAGGCCTCTTGGGGGGAGGCTTCTTGGAGGAGCCTCTTGGGAGCCTCCTGGGGGGCGTCTTGGGAGCCTCTTGGAAGCCTCTTGGGGGTCTCTTGGGGCTTCTTTGGGGCCTCTTTGGGGCCTCTTGGGGCCTGTTGGGTACGTCTTGGGCCGTCTGGGAGCGCTCGTACGCCGTCTGGCCCCTTCAGAGGCCATCTTGGAGGCATCTCGCCGTCGCCTGGGGGCTCTCTTGGGGTCCTCTAGGGCCGTCCGGAGGGCCTCTTGGGCCGTCTTGGGGGCCTCTTTTGGCCGTCTCGGATCCCTCTTGGGCCGTCTTTGGGGGCCTCTTGGGCCGTCTTGGGCCCTCGGAGAGCCGAAAAAACGAGAACGCTAAAGTCTGCCAATAACCACAGGAAATCATCGATTTCGGCTTCTGGAAGCGTTATTGGGGGTCCTCTTGGGGCGTTATTGGGCCGTCTTGTGGGCCGCATGGGCCCCCTTGGGGCCGTCTTTGGCCGTCCTGGGGCCGTCTTGGGCCGTCTGGGGGCCATCTTGAGGCCCTCGTGGAGGCCCCGGAGGCCAATATCATAGATGTTCCAGTGGTTTGGTATGTTTTTTCGCCCCACGGAGGGGGGGGCCAGTTTGGTACGGTCATGTGGCGCGGCTCCAGGGGGGGGGTAAGGGGGTGAGACATAATAATGTAGCACAACACAATCTAGACCAATTGTCTAATAATGAAATTGGATACGCTGCATTATCGCCTTCGCAGAAAACGCTGCCGCTCAGCACGCCACTTCCGGACGTGGATTCCTTTCGCTTCGCGGGGTGCACGTCCGGAGTACGTACAGTGAAGTCGTTTTGGCGGTTCTCGGGAGTTTCGTGGGGGCGTCTTGGGCCGTCTTGGGGACGTCTTTGGGGCCTCTCCCCCTCCCTCCTTTTCATACTCCCTCCCCATATCCCCTTCCAGCGCCAGCACTAATCATGGGCGCCGCCGTGACCAACTTCCACCTGGCTGGCGCTGCTCCGCACTTCGCCCAGGGAGGGACAATGACAGTACACTCCAGTGGCTGTGTGGGCTTTGGGGGGCTTCTATGGGGCATTTTGGAGGCTTTTTGGAGACTTCTTGGAGGCCTTTTGGGGGTTCCTTGGGGCCCCTTGGGGGCGGCGCCCCAAGAGGCCCAAGAGGCCGAATTTGTTGATTTCCCAATAGGTTTTTGAATGTTTTTAGGGCCCCAGAAAGGGGCGACCATTTTGGTACGGCGCTGTGGCGCGGCTCCCAAGGGGGGGTAGGGGGGGAGACATAAGAATGAAACACCATACAACATGTTGCAAGTATGGAATCTTTGGATAGACTGGATACGTTGCATTAAGGCGTTCGCCGAAAAACGCTGCCGCTCAGCACGTCACCTCCGGACGTGGATTCCAGGGGCTTGCGCCATTCCGCCGACCCCCACGAGGAGTGAATGTTTGAGACGATCGTGGAAGTTATATCTTGGGTCAGGGCCTCCTGGATGAATATGAGGGTCTCTTGGGATGCCTCTCTGAGGCTTCTTGGAATATTTATCTCGGGGGCATGCGGGAGGTTTTGGAGCCTCGTAAGGGGCCTCTGAGGGGGCGTCTTGGGGCCCTTTTGGGGCCTCTTCGAGGGTCCTCTTGGGACCCTCCAAGGGCTGTCTGGGGCCGTCTTGGGCGGCCCATGGGGCTGTCTTTGGGCCCTCTTGGGCCGTCTTGGGGCCTGCTTCATGGGCCGCCTTGGGACGATCTTGGGGGCCACTTGGGCCGTCGTCTTCGCTGTCGAAACGTAGGATGCGAGTGTGCTGACAATGAATGTTTTCCTAAGGGATTGGGATTATTTTGACCTCGTGAGGCCATCTCGGCGATCCTGTGGATGTGCTTTTGAGCTGTATTGGGGGCCTCGTGGGCCATCTTGAAGCCATCTTGGATCGTCGTGGTGCTACCCTGGGCCGTCGTGATGCTCTTTTCGACTGTTTCGGCGCTCTGTCCGGGCCCTGTTGGGCTGCTTTGGGGCTTTCTGGGGGCTCCGGGGAGCCCCCGGGATGTTTGACGAGCTCGTCCCCCCAGCCCCTTTCGCCCCCCCCCTCTAATCGGATTCTGGACCCTGGGGGAGGGGGACAGGGCAAGCTAGGTGCGCTCGCGTCATATCTGACATCCGACCCCTCCCTCCCATCCCTTACTATGGCGTAGATCCCCTCTCTACTCGCACAGTCGGATGTCGAGCAGGGCAATGATCGCGAAAGGGTACGCGATGCATTGTAGAGCACGGCATGGCATGGGCAGGGGGACAGCCAAATGTTGAACCTGCCTCTTCTCTCCTGGCAGGCGCGGTTCGGCGGATCCTTCTCTTCTGTTCTGCCTCGGCGCGGTTGGGTTGGCCGTGAGATCTCTCGTTCTCAACATCGGTTTCGCGTTTTTTGGTCGTCTTGGTCCAGCCCTGACTTCGGTCCAGCTCTGAACTCCCAAGAGGAGGAGGGGGGGGATGAAGGGAGGCAGGAGGCGGGAGGAGGTGGACGAGGGGGAGGGAATGGGAGGAGGCGGAGATTAGGAGAGAGAAGGAGGGAGGACATCAACCTCAGTGTGTTCATTCTCGTGTTGGTTACTATGCGCTCTTGTTGATATGTAGTGCACGTCGTTTCTGCCCCAATTCCTCACCATCGTTACAGATTATGGTCAAGATGTTTCATCACCAGCATCATTAATATCTGGATCTCCGTCCCCTCCGCTTCTCATTTCCCTCATCCTCCTCCCCCTCATATTTGCTCATTCTTCTCATCCTCCTCCTCCTCCTGCTCCTCCTGCGGTTCCTCTTCATTCGTTTATGTATCACTCTTCTGTTGCCCAGTTCTTCCTAGCCCCCCTCCATTCCCCTCATCCTCTCCCTACTCATCGCCATCCTCCCACTCTCCCTCTTCGTGCTCATGCGGCTCCTCATCATGCTCATTGTTCCGCTCACAACCCTGTGTTCCACGTTCTATCTACCCTTTCCTCCCATTCTCCTCATCGCCGCTGCCCCCCCTTCTTCTGCTTGTCCTGCCCTCCCCCTTCCTCCCCGCTCTCCTCCCCGGCCGTTCTTACGTTGGCCATACATCGGTATCGTGGCTGGTGCGTTCTTCCACTGACAAACAATATTCCGACGTAGCGAAAATCGAACACACATTAAGGTTGCAGCCAGTGTGGGCACAAGAGGGACAAACTAAACATGCAGCCGATGAAGGTGACAAACGTATCAAAAACGCAACATGATGCAATAATCACCATTATGCATAATCAACAAGGAGGAATCCTCCCCAGCCTCCTCCTCCTCCTCCTCCTTCTCCTCCGCTGCCCTTCTTTCCGTTGCCCTCCTCGTCTTCTTCCCCTTGCCCCCCCCCCCCCCCCCCTGTGCTGCGCCCCCGGCAGGACGTCGTGGCCCAGAAGATCTTGTGCCACGGCCACAGCGGGGACCCGTCCAGGAAGGCGAAGCTACTGGAGCGGCAGAAGGACGGCCCGGAGGCGGAGGAGGAGCAGCAGCAGGGAGGAGGAGGAGGAGGAGGAGGAGGAGGAGGAGGAGGAGGAGGAGGAGGAGGAGAAG